ATTTCTTATCTCTTTTACAAATTATTTCTATCGCAAATACAAATAGTTACACATTTTTAAAGTGCATACGAACTTTATGGACACCCTGTATAATTACAAGCAATCGTGTGTATTAGTCTTTCGATGTAATATTTATTAATACATATTTAGCATTTCTTTTCAATAATTTTTTATTAATAAAAATGCCATTTGATTAAAATAAAAATCAGAGTAACTCTGCATTATTTAATCCTTGATTTTTAGCACATCACCTAAGCCAATTAATTCTTCACTTTTTCTCACGTGCATAATATATTCGCACTATTTACATTGATCAGACTGTTGTCCTCATCTTTGTCATATTCATGACGTTTCGGTCGTTGTAGGCTCCGGTCTTGTTCAGGTGATATACGTGGGAATCCTGTCTTCCTCGTTATCCATCGCGGAATATTAGTGATAAGATGTCATTTGATGGGAGGAGAATTGGATTTCTCTTTCTTCCAAGGTCATAAATAACTTCACTCAAAATTCGAACCCGTTTTGGTGACATTCTTTTTCGTCTGAGAAAACTTTGTACTCCAGGCAAAATATGCATCTGGATGCAGTTTCACTCGATGTTTCATTTACTTCTACCTAAACATCTCCAATCGTGATCTTTCGTACATACTACAAAAATATTCCTAAATTAAGCCAGAATATTTGCAATATTATACAAACCTTTATTCGAACCAATTCTCTGTTTCGGCTTATATAGCCACCGGCCTTCAAGTGCATGACATATTTTGTAATAAACCAATAATGGTAAACAGCAGCCATTATTCAATTTGCGTCAGTTTGGTGTTTTCATTAACAGAACGGCCATATTCGTTCACTTTTCTAGTGATTTTTTTTTCCTGAACGTATTTGTACACTGAAACTATAAATATAATTGATTTTGTAAGTAACTGTATTTATGCATATAAGTATTTACTATAAGTAAATATTTCTCTAGCGGGAATAACGTAACTGCAATTCATCGAGGTTTATGTTGACAGTGAGAACTGAAAGCAGGTTTTATGCATAAAAGAACATACGAAATTTAAAATTTTGATTTCTTTATTAATGAACTCGGAAAAATGCCTCAGATTTCTTGTGATATCAAAATTGACACTCCTACACATGTGCCCAGTTACATTATCTCCTGTAAACCTACGTTCTACTTGGATTGACAAATATTCAGTGGCTTGTATAGGCGCAAACATGTTCGTAAACCGGTTATATACATTAGCATATACACTTAGATATATGTGTATTATTGGGCATTGTCGAGTTTATCTATGGCAATAAGTCTCCCGCATCTAGTGTATATAGTACGTGGTTTGCTTAATTACTGGACCAACATTTTTTTTCTTTATCATCTCTAAAATTGACGAGTCCGTCTAACGATTGGGTTATTTGAGTTTGTATCTTTCCAGTGGTGTTGGTGGTTGGATGATTCATATTTTCCTGTTGACAGATATTACTCTACACTTTTATAAAGTGGATACTTAGGTCAACACCGAACGGCGAGTCTTTCATGCGTGAACGCAATCTTCAGCGCACACACACACACACACACACACACACACACACATAGTTGGATTTTGATCTGAAATTTTCGCATTCAGTGTTTATTTTATTTATTTTTTCTCTCCTATTATTCAGGTTGGAGCAGTGATTGATATTAGTGAAGTGACAAAATAGCTTGTTGAAAATATATTGTATAAAATATGTGATTGTTTTTCATTAGACTATGGAAAATGTTTGCTCAAAGGAAGTATATATCCAATCATTCTTCTCTCTATTTTTTTTTTTTAGAGCGTTGTATAAATCTCCCTGCAATGTAAACACTGATGTGTAATATTTGCGTCTAATACATGTCGATGAAATTAGTTTTTATTTAAATAGTACAGAATGTTATACTTGGCTAATCACATTTTAAATCGTGTTTTACTTTTTTCTCCTTTATTTTCCTTTTGAGGATATGTCGATGTTATTATTTGTCTGTCACTGATTTTTCTTATGTAGACACAATCGTATTAATCAGATATGTTAATACAAATTATTGAGTAATATTTTCATTATATGTTAACGAAAAGCGTCTAAAAAAAATATAGACATCGGTTGACCTTAACGTGACTGATGAGAAGATTGTCGATATTAAACATTTGTTTGTAGCAAGGAACATTCAGCAAACATCGTTATAAAATGTTAACTACTAAAGACTGAATATATTTTCTTCTTTACGAATTTGTATTTTACACATTTGTAACCTTGAAAGTTTCCTACTAGAAATGAATTGAAAAAATATCTTTCCGATTTGCGATATACACACGCGTCAGCGCCTGTGTGAATATTAAACACATTTTGTATTATGTGTCAGACAAGGATTGTATAATTATTTTAATAATGCACATTTTATGTACATATCCATGCCGCAGTGAATGTCGTGTGTGTGTGTGTGTGTATATATATATATATATATATATATATTATTCATCGTATAATTTTATTTGTGATTTATATATAATTTTAAACTGGAACTCCTTACCCAAATGGCAATCTATAAAACTGCAATTTATATACACACTCAATTACAGCACTGAGCAATAACGTTGCGTTTTAGTAAAATGAATTATGACAGAATTCAGAAACTTATGTTAATAAATATTGCATGCAAATAAATTTTCTTTCAAATTTTTAAAACTTTCTGCCAATAATTATTTAATATTTTCTTTTCATATCAATTTTTCCAATGTCCTCTGCATTTTCGAGTTAAAAAGTACAAGAACAAAAGCAAAATATTCGTTTTTTACTATTTGAAAGAAAATCTCTTTTCAGATTTACCCACGAAAACCGTATTTTAAAAAAAAAATGTTTGTCTAATTATGTGTTTAGTTTAATATATAACTGATTCTAAAGTATCTTGTCTATTTCCGTCCGAATATTCTGGCAATACAGCGCGTATATTATGCGTGATCTTTTATCATTCCTGCAATTTTCGCTTACATATTTATTTGTTCTTTACTTGAATCTCATTTAATATAAAGGAATAAACTAAATTTTGATTCGTTGTTTGTTCTTATATTTTTTTAAGTTGTACAATTTTGGTTAACTTTTTATAAGATCATTTTTTGGTTTTGTTCTTAAAACGTTACGTCACTTTTCTATTGATACTGTGTATTGCCATTATTGTTTTCAGTAAATATTTTAAATCGCGTTTTCTATTTCTTTATGATCAAAAAGGTCAGGCAGCCAAACATTCCTTGAAAAATGATAAAATTTAATATTTCACTTGTAACGGATTACTTACGCACGAGTGAAAGTATTTTACAAGTATCAAATTCTAAAAAACAAATTTGAAGTTATTTATTTTCTGATGTATGTGACTTTCCTATGTGCAGTTTTTACCGTCGAGCTGAAGTGCAAAATATTCTACAGCACTTGACTTGGGTGGTTGCTTGTATAGTTGCGTAATTTCCTTCAGTTTCCAGTCGTCGCTTATCCAACCCAGGTATAAAAACATCATTTTGGATGAGCCTGTGAATGTTTTCAAAACCAGTTCGCTTGAGAAAATGAACGCAACTCCTATTGTTTTTTATTGATTTGTCATTGGTCTGAAGTAAATCGAAACTTCAGGAATATCAATAATGCACTTGTTTATTTCCTTTTCATTCACTTTAGTTCTTGACAACTTTTTTTTCATCTCTGTGACACTTCGAGATGACATAGGAAGTGGCATATGGTGATGATGATTAAAACTATTGAATTCGCTTCTTCATGAATATTTAATTATTAAAAGCTTTTGCCAAGATAAATTTCGTAGATAAATTTATATTCAGATATGCAGGTCGAAGAAATGATAATATTGAATTCAAATTTTAGCTATGTCTGAAAAACAGACTCTTAACTAAATTATATGTAATTGTATCGGAAGTCAATATTTATAGATTTTTTTTATTTCGACTCGCAAATAAAACATTAATTTTATTGTTTCTCTTGGAATTATTTTCTGTTCTATTTTTTTTTTTAATAATTGTGCAAACTTAGCGCTTGACTATATTTTATTTTTCAAAAGAAAACTATTGTGTTGAGAAAAAGAACAATTTCTACTAGCCAATATATTTTCTAATTTTCATATCTTCATGGGGAATTCATTGCAATGAATAAATGATATACTTTTTTCTCTTTTAAATTTACTAATCGTTCAATTCACTCTCTTTCTCATGAAGTCATAGTAATTTACAAATCAAAGAAAATGAATCAGCATCGAACAGTAATCAAACCCCCCCGCCACCCGAACCAGAAGAGTGCCTGAAGGGATACCATTAAAATTAAATTAATTGTGATCGGTAATAAATGAAAATATTTGGCGCAGGTTAATAATTACAATAAGAATTTTTCTTTTCAACAAAGTATGGAAAATAAACCTTTCATTTTCGTTTTAAGAAAACATGTTAATTTTGTATTTGTGATCAATTAATATTATTGTTCGTGTAAGTTTAGGTTTACGCTGATCGATTTAAATGAAAAGAGAAGGTCAATTTACTTGATTAGAAGTCGAAGACATTCTTTTTTAGATAGTTTGATATTTTACGCCCCAATATACGCTACGTTCAGACGAATTATTGTTTGGCAAAAGGCATTTCAAACACGAGAATTAAACTGCACACATTACGAAATGCAGAATTTCCTTTTCAAGAGTACTAAGAAATTGCAGCATGGGTTTCTGGCACTGATGCTCTTTAACTGGACAAAATGTTTAACACTTATTTGAGTGTCGCAATCATACCATATTTTTATATATAATGTTTATCTGCACATTACGTGTATTTATTAAATTTCTTTCAGGGCGCATATATACTAGGATATATGCAATTTTCACACACACATATATATATATATATATATATATATATATATATATATATATATATATATATATATATATATATATATATATATATATATATATATATATATATATGAGAGAGAGCCTAGGCTGATGGTCAAATCACGATGAAAACATCGGTTCTCGTTCGATAACCGAAGTTAAGCATCGCAGAGCCAGGTCAGTACTTAGATGGTGGACCGCGTGGGAACACCTGGTACTGTG